TCATGCTTTTTGCACAAAATTTTCTCCGAAAGATCACACTTCGCCGAACACATTTTGAAGAGTACGTAGAAGTTACAAAAAGTAGATACGCGAAATTAACAACGACAACATACCCTATGAATGTGTATACATACTTTTAATTTACAGTTAGTTTTACGCAAGTGATGAGTAAACACAATTGACTAGTTTTTTCGTGTCCATTCATTATTTTGTTTGTGTAAAACTGCCAACTAACAAATTTACAAAATTAAATATCCGTAAAAGTACCAACTAGAGAAATATGCACACATTTGCAGATTTGTAAAGTTTTCCGTCAAGAGCCAATATAATGCACTAAAAAATGCAAAAAATGCGAAATATGCATTTATGACTAAAATATGCAAAATACGCAAAAAAAATTGAATGCCATTTTTAAGATAATTTCTTGATTCATAGATACTTTATCTATTTCGCTTTACCTAAGTCCAAGAAAAACATGTATTTGCATAGATTTCCATGCTCTAGTAATCACATTATTTTAATAAATAGAACACAAGAAAATATTTTATTTCTATTTTTGCCACTCCGAATTTAGTTTAGGAACTCACCTGCGATGCAGAATTACATCGTTAGATTTAATCTTCACATTTTTGATGAGATTTGGGAATATGTTAAAAATTAGCATCTGGGGGTCCACCGAAACCAATAAAGTTTTGAAAGGGGTGTACGAGAAAAATAAGTTTGGGAACCTCTGCTCTAGAAGTATTGTGTACATATTTTTGTCAAACGATTGGTTAAGTAACCTAAGAACAGTTCAAATTTAAATTATTTGAAAAAATATCACAAGCTTCAGTTGTCATGGCAACAGTACCTTTTTATGAAAATCACCAATATGTTTGCCAGTTTAACAGCGATCCAGTAGCGGATTACTACAAGGTCATTGAGCACCCTGTATTGGTTGCAGTAGAAAACTGAAAGTAGGTATAGATATTACAAATATTAAAATGAAAAAACTAAGGGAGTGCCCCGTTTTCTAGGATGAACATTTTTTTCCCCATACAAAAATTTGGTCCACTTTAATTCACATGTATGTAGGTATGTACATTAGACTGCATAACCAAAAACACTAGCGGTTTTTCCGCCGGGATTACAAAACTTATTATATTTGAAGACGTCCACCAAAATATTTCGGAAAAATATGCACCGATTTTAAAATACCTCCGAAAATTGGGTTTTTTATATATAAAAATAGTTTCTTATAGAACTTTTTGAAAAAAATCGCCTCACATGACAAAACAGTTTAAGCTTAAATAATCTGCATAAAAATATTTAGAAATCTTTCCAACGGAATCGTAATAATGAGATTTTTGATGCTGTTTTATAACTTTTTTGAAAGATTGGTTTAAGAAAAACTTGAATAACTGGGTCAAAGCTATTCCGATTTAGACTTTGACGTATCAATGGAAAGGTATTTTCCCACTCATTTTCTGTGCAAAAAAAAACTCATTTAAGCACTTTTTATGACAAAATGCTAAGTAAAAGAACCTGTTTTCGCAATGGTTTCTTTGGCAAATTTGCGTAAAATTACACGTAGTCGGAAAAATCTCCCATAAAAATTTACCTACCGTAATGTGCATATGTACATATTTACTTACCGTCGCCTGGGTAAAAGATTGTCGTAAGCGTCATACGTACGTGCATAACATACGACAATCTTTTACCCAGGCGACGATATGTTAAATGAAGTACATGTAAAAGTGTAAAATATGTAAATATACGTACATAAACAAGTAAACTTTCTCATGAATACTGGACAAAGCTGCAACGATACTGCTTGCTTGACAGCTCGGTGGTTCGCAGTATGTTGCACCAATGTTATTAAAATGAAAAATCAATAAATAAGCCACAATCATCGAATGTATTACCTCAAGTGATTGTGACGTAGGGTGGTGCCTGATGATCGTTCCTTGTAGACCTCCAGAAAATAAGTGGCCGCGCTGTTTTCAGTAAAACTAAGTTCAACCTCCATACAGTGTAACTATTTGAAGGAGAAGCTTGGCGATGGTTAATTTGGCGGCATGGGCGTACGCAGGTACGGGCTAAGGAGGGCGCGACCCCCCTCCCTCCGCCCCTAAATTCCAAAGTTTCATTTTAAGTTTCTTTCTATAAATTCATATTCGATTTCCAATTCAAAAAATGTATGCAATAAATTAAAACTTTGGGTGTCTTCACATCCATTTCGATAGTTTTGGTAAACTGCTGGTTGTTCCTATTTTATCAACTGTGAACGTCCTTTTCAGATTACTTTTGTTAGTCTGATAAACAGTTATTTACTTAAAAAAAGGTAAAATAATTATTAAGTTTTAATATTTTCTCTTAGTTTGTACTTGAGTTTAGGTATGCTTAGCATTCAAAGAGGTTTTGTAGAAAAAAACAAAAATTAAATCATCACTACAACAATTTATCTTTTTGCAGAAGACGCTCGAAGATTATTGTTTAAATAAACAAGTAATTGTTAACAAAAAAAAACCGACTTCAATTCTCATGTAAAACTTTAAGATTACCTTTAATTTCTTCATGATCCAATAATCGGATCTAAACCAAATTAGGATGCGACCACCTCTGAGGTACCACCTTTCCTTTCGAAAAGAATTATCGCAATCGTTTATGCGGTAACATATGTACATAAAAAAATATTCCGACGAATAGATAACCTCCTCCTTTTTTTGAAGTCGGTTAAAAATAATGGAAAAATGACGATTTTGGTGTAAAGACGAAGTCGCGTTTTAAAATTTACATGCAATTAAGGTAACTAACAAATTTGTATTTTAACTCTTCAATAAGTTCATAATAAACTTTATGCAATATAAATTCCTTTGTAGTGCTCGGTACAAGTCAATTAATACAATAACAAGTCATTTTTAAGCAAAAAACACAACCGACCTCAATTCTCACATAAAAATTTAAAAGTACCGTTAATTTCTTCATGATCCAATGATCGGATCTAAACCAAATTAGTATGGGACCTCCCCTGAGGCACCAGCAAAAGAATTGTCGAAATCGGTTAATGGACCACATACATAAAAAACATACATCAAAAAAATTTCGATGAATTGATAACCTCCTCCTTTTTAACTCGGTTAAAAAAATTAATGAGGTAAATTATTATAAATTTTTAGTAGCTATATTTTAACATTTATAATAAAATTTACATAAAAAAACTCAGGCCCCCTTAACCACACACCACAAGCCCTTTATGTGCTTACAGCGTTATGAATATTTTTAATGACATCCGTTTGAGTGGAAATAAATTATTCGTACAGATTGTGAAATTTTGATATTTATAATTTGTAATCAACGTATTATATCGCACGTTTAATCTAATATGTAAAAATCTCGTGTCACGGTGTTAGTGGTCGAACTCCTCCTAAACGGTTCGACCGATCCTTATGAAATCTTTTGTGTATGTAGCTGTAGGGGCGTGGCACCTGCCATACAAACCGAATTTTTCACACTGCATATCTCTGGAAGTGTTCATGATAGAGTACTGGAACTTAGTATGTGCAAGATATATGAAATCAGTCGCATAATCATGAAGAAAATTTGGGTCTATTAGAAAAAGGGGCGTGGCACCTCCCATACAAACCGAATTTTTCACACTGCATATCTCTGGAAGTGTTCATGATAGAGTACTGGAACTTAGTATGTGCAAGATATATGAAATCAGTCGCATAATCATGAAGAAAATTTGGGTCTATTAGAAAAAGGGGCGTGGCACCTCCCATACAAACCGAATTTTTCACACTGCATATCTCTGGAAGTGTTCTTGGTAGAGTACTGGAACTTGGTATGTACAAGGTATATAAAATCTATCGAATAGTCATGAAGAAAAATCGGGCTATTGGAAAAAGGGGCGTGGCACCTCCCATACAAACCGAATTTTTCACACTGCATATCTCTGGAAGTGTTCTTGGTAGAGTACTGGAACTTGGTATGTACAAGATATATAAAATCAATCGCATAGTCATGAAGAAAAATTGGGGCTATTGGGAAAAGGGGCGTGGGAACTCCCATAAAAACGAAATTTTTCACACTGCATATCTCCGGAAGTGTTCATCGTAGAGTACTCGAACATGGGATGGAGGTATATGAAATTAATCCCATGCTCTTAGAGAAAATTGGGGCTAGTTGAAAAGGGGGACGCCTTTCAAACGCACTGAAACTATTACGTATCTTTGTATGCATGTACACTTTTGCTAGATTATTTAAGACGACAATATTAGAAGATAAATGCCTCACTGAAAGTCATGAACGTGAACTGTTGGTGTAAATGTTGGACCAAAATGTTTCAATACAAAAAATTTATTTTGGGCGGGACGAAGTTTTCCGCGACTGCTAGTAAAATATAGAATTATTTCAAAATTTCAATTTTGTGGGTAAACGAAATCAAAGTTTGATCAACCCATACAGTTGGTATACCAAAATACAGATGGAAATATACATACTTATCTTCGCCATTTTTGGGAATTTTAGTCATCTGTTAGTCTGAACGTATTCTACTTATCAAGCTTATTACCTGTATGATGAAATCTCCAAAAACATAAATTTTGATTTACATCCCTATATGGGATATATCGACCTATCTCGGCAGTCAGTTCGAAAACGCCCTATCTCAGAAAACTTTTCAAGAACGCCCTACTTCAGAATTTGATTGAAGAAACCCTATTTCAGAATTTTATTGAAAAACACCCTTTCTCTGAATTAAGTTGAAAAACGCCCTATCTCAGATTTCGATTCATAAACGTTCTATCTCAAAAGAAAATGTATTGAAAATGTGATGAGATAGGCCGTTTTTGAACCGGATTCTGAGATAGGGCGTTCTTCAACCAAATTCTGAAATAGGGCGTTCTTGAAAAAAGGTTGAGATAAGGTGTTTTCGAACTGGCTGCCGATATAGGTCAATCTCCCACTCAGGTGTCGATATATGTACCATATTTACATATGTTTTTTTTTGTTTTTAGTGGTGCTCCTTCCATTGAAGGTGATGTGGACAACTATGAGCATGTTCTTAGAGTAACCACTCACAATGATGCACTTTACGCTTACTATTATACAGATGACCTTACGAACAAAGTAGGTTTATTGCTTCAAAAAACATCAACTTTAAATAACAAGGCAATTTTCTACATGCAGGTTAAAGTTACAGAAATTTTCGAAATTGATGATGACGAACAACTTGCAACCGATCCGAAATTATACGAAGGCATAGTTGAAGATCACCCGAATCCCCATCAACATCACCACAATGTTGTTAGTGAATGGAACGGCGTAGAATCAGGTGAGTTTGACAAAGCTTGGCATAGTTTCTATCTGAAGTTCAATAGGAAAGAAATTTGAAATTAAATACAAATTTTCAAAAAACACGACGTTTTTTGTGTCTTCGACAAGATAATAATATGATGTATTTGCCAACGAATTTCTGTCAACAATGACACTGAAGACGACATAACGACGAAATCGCCAAAATTCCAAATGGTTAAATACGTATACACACATATCGCACACGTTTTTCAATAAATAAAGTTTTAGGAAAAAATTCGATGGCAATGGGTAGGTTCAGAAGGTGCAGAAGTTGAGCGCAACCGTTGCTAAAAAAATCAATAATCGTAATGCGTCTTCTGAACGGCTTGATACATTAGCTGTCAAATTCAAAACACACAACACGTTGTCTCAAATGATCAGAAAAATTTTACGATCGTCTAACACGCAACTGTTCAGTTGATCAGAAGTACAAAACAACGCGTTCAGAAGGTGCAATCGCAACAGTTACTGAGCTGTTGCGCCTTCTGAACGTGCCCAATGTTCAAAATATAAAATTTTTAGGCAGTTTAACGCTTTCCTTAACATCGGCCGGTAGTGAAGACACTTGAGACCCTGCTGCTCCTATACTTCAAGTGTCACCTGTCTCAGCGAAGCATCAGCATGGCTTCCGTAAAGTGCACAGAACCACCACCGCGCTTAACGCCGTAAACACTCAGATAACTCGTGGTCTCAACCGAAACGCGCCTGTGAAAGAACGGTCCTATTAGCGTTGGACACAGGGTTACCACTGAAAAACTTTATTTCCTACCAGGAGCTGCTTCAATAACCTACCAAAAAGGTTTCTTTCCTACCATTTCTTTTAATCAAGAAAACGGCGTTTGACATCATTAAATACATTTATTTTTGCTGGTGTTTATACTCTTAAAGAGGATTTCCAAGTAAACAAAAAGATCAGAAGAATATATATTATATACGTACAAAGCTTAAACATTATTTTGGATTCTCTGATAGCTCTGTCAGCTTATTACCAGCTACCTAGTAGGAAGAACTCAGAAGGTGACTTGCAAGGCTACCTCGTCCGCGTCTAGTATTGTTGTGTCCGGTGTTCCGCAAGGCTCTCTTGTCAGCCTCCTCTTTTTTTAGTATTTTTGTCAACGATGTATTCTTTGTTTGTCAGTATGTGAATGTCCACGCTTATGCTGATGACTAGGGCAACCCAAAATATGTTCGGGCGTATATTTTTTGGCAGGCATGTTAGGAACACGCTTATGAAATGCTTAAACGTGTTTCCAAAAATATAAAGTTTGAGTTATAAATCTTAGAGCATATTTTGCAATAAATGCATATTTCAGCATATTTTGCAGTAAATGAATATCAAATAAAACACCCCTTTGAGGTAAAATTTTCGAGTGCCGAAAGCTGAACTAGAAACACAAATTTTCTGATATCAATTTCGTGACGAAAATTATACGCATTTTTTAACTGC